TTTTATTTTTTATTAAAAAATTATTATGCTGCATTATATGTGTGTGTATATATATTATATATATTGATTAATGGGGGGTATTTTGGGAATGTGAAAGTTATAGCTATGAAAAATATCTACGTTGTGGGATCCCTCTCGCCGACTATGTCACTGTGGCGGGGTCCACATCCAACTCCTAATGCCGTGTTTGTTTGAGTCCTAAATTCCCATTCAACACTATCTATGGAGCTTATAGTTCTTGCCTTTCCCAAAAGCCATTCATTTAAGGGCACAAATTACGTATTTCCATCTATAAAAATAAAAAAGAAAATGCAAATAAATTAATTTCCATTAAATTTATATTCTTATATATTGATGTGTGTATATATATATATATATATATATATATGATAATGGTTATCCATGTATATTCAATTTAAACATGTCACCAATCTTATCAAATATTTTACTAATTAAAATAGAGAATTATCAAATTAATCTCTCAATTTTAATAGTTATTATAATTTAATTTTTAATGGTTTTTTTAATAGTTTGGTCTTTAACATTTTTTTAGTTATTTTAACATATATACATATCATTTATATAGTTGTTGATTATTTATTTATGTTAGATTATATTTGAATACTCTAAAAAATAATTAAAAAATGTAATTTTAATTTATTCATTAAATTAATAATAACAAAAATATTATTTTATATTCTCTACGTAAAGACTTATGCTCACCTAAGTACCTATAAGTTCTTTAATTGACTGACTCTATTTTTCTTTTTTGCTATCTCAATGACTTTTTAAGTTGTGCGATACATACGTAATCTAATATATTTTATTTTTATGTATCTATTATGATGAATTCCATTCACTATTGGTATCACAATATCTAATATGAAAATCTGATACTTAATCATCTGAATCATCTATATTGTAGTTACAAAGTTAAAACTATTTACTTATATTATACATAAAAACTACATTCCAAGCATGTATACACATATCGAATAATTTTTATTGGCTACGCTAAGGAGTCCTATGCTAACAAGAATTATTCTACATCATCATTTAAACACTGAAATTATTCAGATAGTGATATATTCTCTCATATTGCTATAGCCAAAAAGTATTGACACAAAGGTTTACGGTGTTGTTTGAGCAATTAGCAATGTGAGAGTCGTTCTAAAACATGCATTCATGCTAATGAGTGTATATATATCAATATTAGCCTTAATAAATGTCATTTGGTGTGAAATGGGCCTCCTTTTAAATTGTATATGATGAGATTGCATACCATACTATTTGATACTGTAACATAATACAATATATATTATTTTTGGTAATACAATACACATTACCATACTATTTGATACTGTAACATAATACAATATATATTATTTTTAGCAATGCAATATACACTATTTTGATACTAATCAAGTAATCTAAAGTTTTTTACAATAAATCATTTCAATTGACTTAATTTATAATATAATCACTTTTTTTTTATTACAGTGTTCATTACTTTCGATGAAAAAAAAAAAAATTATTTCATAATTCAATTCTTTTTATGATGTATAATCAGATATGTTAATTATTTTATTTTATTTTTAAACAGAAAATATTAAATAATTCAGTATTGCCAAATTGCAAGAAAATAAATTGAGCAAAAAGATTTTACTTCACAATTAGCATATGCACGTACATATGATTTTCCATGTAGCTATGAAATTATGTTTTGTATTTATTCTCTTTAATAAAAGCCAAATTGCACGAACACCACAATCGGTTCGTGTATATCTTTTTGTAGTGATCCTGCACGTAGGCAATAATTGTCTCATTATAACGTTGGGAAAATTTGTACTAGTCATTATATGTATATAATTATATCACGAAAAACACGTTCGGCTGTTTTTCTAACCAGCTAGCTTTATGTAATCTACGTATACTTTCATTCGGTTAATACTAAAAAATAATATTACAATCATTAATTATAATTATGGGACTTAATTTTATTGTTAACTACAAATTAATTATAGAAGGAGTTTTTTTTTTTTGCATAATAAAATAATTTAATTTTATTTAACTCTATAATCTCGTACAAACTAAAAAATATATCAAATACTAAATTATTCTATATATTATTCGTCCGCGTCTTTATTGTTTTTAATATTAAATATTTCATATTATTTGTAATTGCTTTTTTCTTTTTCATTTGTTGTTTTTAATATAAATAAAATGTAATTATAATTACACATTATCCTGTAATATTTAATTTGTTTAGTATTAACATTTTAAATGTACTTTTTTATTATTTTATAATATAGCATAAATGAGTGCTTTTAAAAAAATTATTTATATTTTCTCATGGGCTTGTACATATGGGCCTAGGCCCAATATCAAAAGCCGGGAGTTCAAAAAAAGAGGCGGGAGATTGATTTGATACGGTTATATTTTCCCGCTAAATTCTCCCCAAGTTTCAGACCAGAAAACCCTTGTATCCTTACAGCCTTCATTTTCTCTCCTTTTATAGTAATTCAATCCCAAATCTCACCAGAGTCTAAACGGAATCGCTCGGTTTCTTTTGCTGTTTTATATTCAATTAGGATTTCGTCTGTAATGCTAACTATAGCTGTGCCTAATTCTTCCCCGTGCAAGGAGATCGTGGCCGTCGGATCGGATACGGTCGGCGAAGTAGGCGGCATCTCGACTCCTCGGAAACGGAAGTTGAGATCTGATATGGCGGCAACGCGGACGAGGCAGACCTCTACACCGATGAAACGGAAATCGCCTCGTAGATGCGTCAATTCGAGTCCGAACACTCCTGAAAGTGTAAGTTCTATGTTATTCCAATTGATTTTAGCGAACTGGTTGATCCTAATGGTTTCAATTGTTTAGAATTTAGATTTAAGGGTTAGGTTGGTGAGAAAATAACTGAAAAAAGTTGATAGGTAAATGTGAAGTTCGGATCCGCCATTTTTATGCTTCTTTTTATATTGAAGTCAACTTAAGTCAAAACCATACGCCTGTAGAGTTAAAGGTTATTGGTAAGTAGAGGGACCTTACTTATGCTCAGTTGCTAATAATTTGCAGGGAATTAAGGAACAGTTGAGTGAGGATCGGGTGAGATCACGCAAATCACCAGTGAAGAAATTAATCAATTGTTTTAATGACAAACAGAGTTGGAATCCTAGAGGTCAGCTCGATTTTACTTTTTTATTTCTGTTATTCTAGTAAGTTAATTATGTGATTGATGTTAATGGTGAAGTAGTTGTTGATTTATTGTATAGATAATGAGCAAATGAGGGCTGTGAAAGAGGCATTGCATGTATCTACAGCACCGTCAAACGCTGTGTGCCGCGAGGATGAGCAGAAAAGGGCCTTTGACTTTGTTAAGACTTGTATGGAACAAGAGAAAGCTGCAAGTTTATACATATGCGGATGCCCAGGGACCGGAAAATCTTTATCAATGGAGAAAGTGAAAGGACAATTGATTGATTGGGCAAAAGAGGTAAGCTCGTTGATTATTTTTGTTTATCTAGTTTAGGCTATATGGCTTTAAAAGTTTGAGCACTGTGCCTCCGAAGTCCGAAAGATGTCAACCAAAATGGTGGCACTTGCTTAATATTTTTTTTTCTAATTGGAGATTCAGTGTTTCTGTTTGGTCACTTTGTTCTTTATAACTTTTTAAATACAATCTTGTTTGATCTTTTAGAGTCTTGACATTGCCTGCTCTTCTCTATTCTGCCGAGAATAGATAAATACACATGCAGAATAAATATACACGCGTTACTGTTGTTACTCTCTTACTGGAATGATGGTTTTATAATGTTTTTCTTCTATTTTATAGGCCGGTTTGCAGCCACCTGATGTTTTAGCTATGAATTGCACTTCACTCACAAACACAACAGAGATTTTCAGCAAGGTATTGTTGTGAAGAAGTTATCTCAACTATATTGACAATCCAGTCTTCCTCACTGTTTGATTGCCTTCTCAGATACTTGGCAAGCACCAACCTAGGAAGAAACTAAACGGCTCGGCTTCAGCTCTACAGTTCCTCCAGAACCTATATTCTCAGAACCAATATCCATCTGGCTCAAAGATGATGTAAGAAATGAAACTTCAGCTAATTTCTTCTCACAAGCAACCCTTAGCACATAAAATGTAAGTCATGCGGTGATTCTTACTTTCAGTTAACCTTTCCTTTTTACAGGCTTGTAATTGCTGATGAACTAGATTATCTAATCACAAAGGATCGGGCTGTTCTTCATGACCTTTTCATGCTTACAACCTTACAATTCTCTAGATGTATTCTAATAGGTAATGCCTAGTATCTCATCAAGATGTTGATGTTTTTCTGCGAGATATTCTTTATGGTGTCACCTATATCTTTTTCTTTATATTTGATTTTGCAGGAATTGCAAATGCCATAGATCTAGCAGATCGTTTTCTTCCAAGACTCAAATCATTGAATTGTGAGTTTATTACTCTCTCTCTCTGGATATTATTAAATTCTTATTGTGCTGTCTGCCATTAAAGAAGAATTTTGTTTCTCAATGATCTTAATGAGGATTAACATAAATTATGAGTCCATTCTATTCTCAGTTTTCTATGCATGTAGTTGAGCTGCAAAATCCTGAAGATGTCTCCTGTATATCTTCTTAATTCACCATTGAAGTAACTGTTTTCAATATTCAAGTCATATTTGCGGCAAGATACTGGCTTGCTCAGCTTCCACAAGCTGGGACTGTTCTAGTTGTCCTTTAGAAACAATATATAATATATACTGTCATGCTTTACTTCCTAGGATCAAAAATGGTTTTGCTGTTATGCAACTTACTGGTTTGTTTGAAACATTTCGCTTATTGACTCTGAAACAAATTTATCAATTCTATTATAGCAACTAACAAGTTTATAGTTCACATAAGTTGATTTGATCCTCTTGCTTCCTGGGAGGAATGCTGACTTTTTCACTTTCTTTTGTTGTTCCAGGCAAGCCTATGGTTATAACTTATCGAGCCTACTCTAAAGATCAAATCCTTGCGATACTTCAGGAGAGGCTCAAGGTAATTCCTCTCTCCTATTTAGCCTTCCAAATGCCTTTGCTTTATTTGTTGCAGTAATGCTAGGCAGAAACCTGAAATCAGTTAAGTTCCTGACATCTTTATGCAAGATGAAAAACAATACAAACATGTTTTTGTCATAATCCGTATTTCTCAAGATGACATCTTATTATATTGGTTGGTTTCTGGAAGGAGTAAAATCAAAAGGCATAGTTTTTCAAAATTTTTGCTTTCTATTGTAACATGTCAAGCTGTTGACCTGCAAACTCTTTTTCCATTCTCACAGGCACTCCCTTACATTGTATATCAACCACAAGCTTTGGAGCTCTGTGCCAGAGTGAGTCTTCCATATGTTTTAGTTTGATAAGTCTGATCAATGAATCACTTAGCTTGTTTATGCTGCCACTGGACTGACAACTCAAATATAACAGAAAGTTGCTGCTGCATCTGGAGATATGCGGAAAGCTCTCTGTGTTTGCAGGTTTGTTTCTATCCGTGTTGCAATGCAGCTTTTGATAATCTTGAGAATCATGTCATGTGGTTTTGATAAACTGGGGCCATAAAAGGTGGCAGAACAACTACATTACACTTAAGAAACTGCAAAATAAGTCCATATTCTTTTTCCAGAGAATGAAAACAAATGTCGAAGATGTTTTGCAATGAATGTAATACCTTTGCTTTGAAGCTACCTAGAAATTTTTGTGCCTGAAGTCTTTGACTTTGTTACAGGAGCGCAGTGGACATGCTAGAAACTGAACTGACAGAATCTATGGGCAAACTAAATTTGGCATTGGGTGAAGGAGAATCTTTTGATCAGGAGATATCTCCATCTCCTGAGAATAATATTGTAAGTCTCCACGTTTTAACACCTGAGAATCTGCTTTCTGATTTCGAAAGCCCTCACCAAATAAAAATGCTGGATAAAAATGTGGTTTTTTGTCTTTTTGCCAAAATAATAAATTACATGGCTTGTCCAAATTAAAAGAGGTCAATTATGGTATATGCTAAATTTTTCTAGCCCCTCAGCAAAATTAAGGATGTATTAGTATGGACCTATGTAGTAGTTGAAACGTACTCTTCATGCTTCAGAACTTTTTGATATGCAAGATTGACGCTCAGCTACTTGAATTTAATCTGGCTCACTTTTGAAAAAACTGCCAGAGTTTCCTTCAGTCTTTTCATATTTCCTCAAGAGTAATATTTCTTGAAAACTCCCAATAAATAAGATTGGCAATAGGCATTGTTTTTTTTTTTTTTTAAATTTTATTATTTCATATTTGTTCTGGAACCATGTTACAGGTAAGGCTTGACCATATGGCAGTTGCTTTATCAAAGACATTCAAATCACCAATAGTTGACACAATACAGTCTCTTCCTCAACATCAGCAAGTAATAAATTCCTTTCTGTTACAAGTAGATAACTTGTTTAGCAGTTTAGGATTTGTCAAACAGTTTATATATTTATAGTGCGTCAGCTCAATTTTTGTAGTTTCTTGTCATTCTCTCCTACAAGTCAGATTTGAATTTGAATAGCCTTTTCTTTATCTGATCACAAGTTAATTTGTTCCAATGATACTCAAAATGCAGATTATACTTTGCTCTGCTGTGAAATTTTTTCGTGGAGGAAAGAAGGATACTACAGTAGGAGAGGTGTGTTATTTGGATTTTAAAATACAGTTTTTATGAACTACATTGTTAAAAAATAAAAATAGTTGGATTATACTTCTAACTGTGGAAATAAAAATTCAACTGTATAATGCACTCTCCAGGAGGATTAAAGTTCATATTTTTATTTGACATAAGATTGTTTACAGTAAGGAAAGGAGATTCCTCAAAACAATAAAAAATAAGTTTTTAGAAAATTTTAAGTGGAATTAAGACCGTATGTTTTAAATTATCATTTAGACTGTTGAAAATGTATTATTTTTATTTTACTTGAATTATTCAAAAGTTCAACTTTTATTCTTTAGTAAGGAATTTAGCTGTTCATGTTTAAAATAAAATTTCAAAAGTACGAAAATAAAATCCATTAGTTCTAGGCCAACTGTTTGGAGAAAGAATAAGATTTGGAAAAACAGTTACTAACGATTACAATTTGCTGCTTGGGTGCAGTTGAATAAATCTTACCTAGATATATGCAAATCGTCACTCATGCCACCTGTTGGAAATTTGGAATTTTTGAGTATGTGTAAAGCGCTAAAGGACCAGGTACTTAACTACCTCGTGAAAGTTTTATTTTATTTTTTTGGAACAACTTTTTTGAAAGTTTTAAGTTCATTCATTAAATGAGTTTATTCTTCTTAATATAGATTTTGACTTTTTCGATAGATATAATGATTGATGCTAAGTGAAACAAGATTTCCATGTGCAGGGACTTGTTAAACTAGGTCAAGGCCGCGAAGATAGATCGAAAAGGGTAACACTAAAGGTAGATGAATCGGACATCACATTTGCATTGCAGGTAGACATCAACAACTCTCAAATTTTCAACTAATGTTTTATTTCCAGTGCATTTTATGATAATTTGCTGTTGAGATTTGGTGTTGTTTATCAAATTAAATGGTCAATAATCCACTCCTGATAATTATTTCCTATACAATTCCCCAAAGAATTCTAAATTTTTTTATAGAACGGAACGAGAATTGTTTTTGGGTCTTTTTCCTTTTGCTATTGTCTCTTATTATTTGTTTGGCCATTTTAATTGAATAACAGGGAGTTCGTTTCTTTCGAAATTGTCTTAAATAATTTTTTCACAATCGGAGATTCCTGATGTCAGTGGATACTCCTCTACCGTTCAACATCTGCAAGTAACCAGATGTAAAAGGTTTGAAGCGACCAACTTAAATATAACTTAAATAATTGTCTTGTAATTGTTTATAGAAATTGAGATTTTTATCTTAATCTTCACAGTCGTATGTGAAACTCAAGAGTTCAAACCAAATGGTTGTACCCGTGAGGATCTCGGTCAACAAAGAAATTGTGAAGTCCCACCATAATGTTAGGAGTTTCAACAGAAGAGGCTGGAGAACAAGATATTCCAATACCAGAAGTATACATGAAAATTATCTTGCACACAAAAAATAGTTTTCTTGTAATTTTTTACTTAATCCATGATTTGAGGAATTAATGAATAACCCATCTGCTGAGCCGTTTGCATGGGGCATATAGTTAGTGTTGGCAGTGGGCATAAGGAACTGGAATAAGACTTGCAATCCAATGAGTGTACTTCGCAACGAGATATTTTCCCAGGGTGTTGCCTCGAAATCTTTGAGACACCGTTTACTTACCAATTCTAACCTTTAGATAAAAATATTAAGATTTTGATAGAAGTAAAAAGCTACATATTTACTACCTACATATTTATATATTTATGCACATTTTTGTTTATAAACATATATATATGTATCTATATATAAAAATATATTAAGAGTTAAAGATAATGTATTTTATTAAAGCGAACATATACTTCCGGTTTAAGTCAAAATAGTGAATTATTTTAAATTTTTATCGTCCCAAACAACATAATATCATAAATCATTTTTCCTCTGGAGATTTAAATGCTATGACAAATAAGTACAAGCTCGGTTCAACCAGTTACATCTACAACGTCATACAATCTAGCAATTTCAACATTCAGATCTAACTTGTCTGCAAAGCCATAGACATACTTGTTAACTCGAACTTTCAATGAATAAATGAATGAATGCAATCCGGTAGGTAGAAAAGATGAAAATCACATACACCTAACAGTTTGAGAAAGCAACCAAATTTCTATCCAATATTCATTAAAGTTAACCCTACAGGACAATCTAACGAAAAAAAAAATCTAGTCAAACAGGCTAAAACCCATGTCATCATCAGATTCCTCAGCTGGCTCTTCCTTCTTCTCCTCCTTGGCAGCAGCCGCAGCAGGAGCTGCTCCACTGTCAGCAGCAACTGGAGCCGCAGCAACCGCAAACTTGCTTGGATCCTGTAGATTGTTAATCAAACGATTAATAATAGTTTATAAAGTTAACACAAATGAAGCTCCATAAGCTTCTTTTCCCTCAAAACAGACCCCTTTTGGTAGGAGTCCTGTCTTCAAATTCCAGTCAGTACTAGAAAAAAAGATTGATCCAGACTGAAATGGACAAAGTTAAAGCTCTCTCACTCCCTTTTTCCAATAAAAGAAAAAGAAAACTGCCTATAATGAAGCAAATAAAAGAAAAGATAGAACTAAACATTAAAGAAACGCCAACCTTCAAGTATTCTTTCACTTTCTCAGCCAATGGGAAGGAATAGTCTGTTGCCACTGCAACAGAAAGAACATTCTTGTACGCATTGACGAACATGTGAGGTGCGGCAGCAAGAGTAGGGAATGAGATGGCAAGTGACAGAGAAGTAACCATTGAAACCCCAGAAGCAAACTTGCTAATAAGATCTTCATCAGTCAGGTCAAGAACTTCAGGGCTGAAGACTGATCCACTGTCATAAACAGAGAGGACGACAAGGCCATAAGAGAAAGGGCGTATGCCAAGCTTTGAGAGAAGTGCAGCTTCGGATGAGCCAACTTTATCACCCTTCTTAATGATGTCAACTGGGGTAATGATTTCCACGGTACCCTTGTTGATCTTGGTGGGAATATTGAGCACCTGAGAAGTTGGAGAAGATTAGAGTGGAAAAGAATCTACTGAAAATTTTCAAGCTATGCAAGTCAACATAATATGATCTGTTTAGCTTTGATCTTGGGCGTTAACCTGGAAGAAGGATGTTTGAGAAGGGTCAAGTCCAGTATTTCCAGGTGGAACAACAACATCAATTGGTGCTGTAAGGCCAACACGTGCAGGAGCTCCAACCTGGTTTAGAAGATAAGAAAGTTAAGACGAGTTGAAATATATCAACAGAAAACTAGATACCCATGAAGGAATTCATGAATTTTTGCCCTTTCATGCTCAAAGATAATGTATTTCATTTGAAATGATTATGTTTCCTTATATTTAATTGTCAATAAAATTTGGAAAATCTAATTGAGTGATGGCGTGTAAGAGCAAATATTACTGGAGGCTGTACTATTATAATCTAAAACTCCATTAATATCATTCCTAATATTCACTAAATAGGATAAACCACAGTAAATACAAATAGAGCCCAGTATCCTCAAGGTGTCACAGGAAAGTACACAAATTATAATTTTAGAATGCCATTATTATCATCCCAACATTCAAGAAATAGGATCAACCAACCATGTAAGTTAATTTTATATTCAATAGAGATGAAAGATCAGTGAAATATTGTGACTCATACACCAATTGAAGTAGTTGTATATATATCTATCTCTACGCTCATATGATCCAAGGGGAACAATGGCAAAATCAGAAAATCCAACATGAAAATCTTTAGCACCAAATGTTTTACCTTGTACTTAGCAATCTCTTCTCGGACTTCCTTCAGATCACCCTTGGTGAAGATCAACCCAACATTGCCCTAAATTGAAAAATTAAAGTCAAGGAACATATGAGCTTGCTTTACCAGTAAATAAATATTGACAAAACAACAACCCAGATAATTAATATTGCGTAGATGCTGAATTTTTGTTAGATGGCCAAGAAGATTCGAGGAAAAAATTCTTATGAGTTAAATTCTCTACTTTCTCGAGTCATATTTTGCACAAGTTCATTGCACACAAGATATTGGTTAACTTTTCAGTGAAATGGTCCAGATTAATTTCCATTTGCAAAAGATTTTCTCCTCATAGTTTCTTAACAACCGAACAGTCTCTTCCTTCAAATCAAGGACTGATTTATTTAACACAATAAAATATAATACTACATATAAGATGGGTCGTCTATTGTATATACGTATATGTATTGCCCTATGCTTCCATTTACCCCCAGCTCCTGAGCAACCAAGCAAAAAATGCAGAACAACGCCTAAAAATTCAAAAAGATAAAACAATAATGGCCAACAAAATAGTCAGTCAGTAAGCGGATGAACCAAAAGAAAAAGAAACACCTACAACGAGCAAGGGAACGAGATTCATGATAGCCGGGTTCTTCGTTCTCTCAGCATGGAGCCTGATGGACCTCTTTATCATCGTATTTTTTCCCATCAAAACAATGGAGTCTCCTCTCAAACCCTTACGTATGCTTTGCATCTGGTTGGACCCAACATTATCGGCGGCAACCACCAGCACCTGAGAGTACTCGTCGAGCAAATTACACAGTTTCTTATCGTACTGTGTCTTCTTCTCCGCCTTTGAAGTTTTCTTCCCCGCCATTGTTTCACACAACCCTAGGATACAGATGGAAATTTAGAACCAGAGAGCTGCTAGAAGGGAAAACTGAAAACCCTAGAGAGGCATGGAAGTGACGACTCGCTGCATGGTACTTATATTGTACGATACTGGGTTATTGGGCTCTGTAAAATGCGGCCTTTTTGGTGTGGGCCCACAAGATCTTCGTTCCTCCCAAGAAAGTTTCAAGTGTTTGATAATGAATTAATAATCACCTTTTCTCGTCCTGACCCCTTTTTTAATTGTTCTCTTTTTTCTTCTCATGGCAATTTGGTAAATAACATAAGCTCACGAGCCAATGCGAATCGAGAGGTTCGGATCCAATATATTTATCGCGAAAGAAATAAATGTGTTGATTGATTGACGAGTGCTGACTTCATTTTACTGATGGGTCTCTATTCTTATGTTCAAATGCCGAATGATTTTTAACAACTTTTTACTAATGATATCATGAACTGTCTGTTCATAATGATCTCTTAGTTTATTTTAACTTTTATCTCTTATTAGAAAAAAAAAAAAATAATTTAAATATCAAAATATTTGAAGTTTGAATGGTTATTGGAATTGTTCAAAAGATATGCTTAAAGTATCATAATCCATAAAGTGTTTATCCCAAACACTAGTTGTTAGGGGTGTGTATTTCCTTGACGGTTTTATACATGTATAGATATGTACAAACACATGCAAATACACAAAACCCAAAAGACTAAAACTCTTAAAATAGAAAACCCACATCAAAGTTGCATCCTTTTAGCCTCTGTCTCCGCGATATGCTCCTCCACCGCCAATTCCTCCTCCTCTGATCTTTTTCCTTTTTACCGTCGACCATCGTTCTGACATCGCCTTCTTCAATCCTGGCATGTCGATTTGCATGCAAAGGGCACAATATATCGCATCCTCCTCTTTCACTTCCCATCCTCTTCTGCTTGACGCTGTTGCCGCCACTCCTCGGCCGACAAATTCGGGTCTTTATGAAACTCTCCACCCGACTCGAGACCTAAAAGGCTCCTCATAGTCACCGGTGAAAATAGATAAAAAACATGTTTGAATATGTCGGCAGAACGAGTTATGGAGTGATCAGGATGGCCGTCGACGGCGACTGAGCGATCATCACTGTCAATGTTGGTTACTCGGGAGTGGGTGGTGGGTGGGTGAGCAAAAACTTTGATGAGATCGGAATCTTTGGAGCAGATAACAAAAAAGATGGTGGCTTTCGGCCAAGGGTGTGTTTATTACATTTTGTAAATAAACATGTTAATAAAGTATATTGTAGCTTGCAGAATAAATCATTTTATAAAATAATATACTTACAAAATAATATAAACTCTTAAACTGTAATTGATGTTAAATATTAAAAATTATTTTGTACAATAATATATTCTCATAGTATTTTCCAATTTCTATATCTATATGTTTTGTGATACTTATTTTTTTTTAAGTACAAAGGAAAAAACACAATTAAACTGAAAAAAAAAACTTTAAGTATTACACATTCTAAATTAATAAACTTCGAGGAGATCATCTCTAATGATGTTATATGAGTATGTCGTACGTAATGTAGGTCAGGAGTGGTCAAAATCTTAATTTATCAAGTAGTCCGCATACCAATTATCTTCATAATAATTATATTGTATTTTTAACAGTTCGATATTTCATGAGCCAAACTTTTATAATTTAATTTATTAGAAGTTAAACTGTCATTGTTAAAAATTTTATTAAGGACATAGACGGCGAGCCCCAAATTTCAAACTAATTCGAGGCAATCCAAATATATTCTTGAGGTGGCCCCAAGCACTAGACCATCGCAATCCCTGCCCAACGCACCAGCACAAGCACATGACATGAATGGTGTAGTTAAAGATTTCTTCAATTTAACAAAATTAAAATGCATAATATGAATTTTATATAGAATTTTACATTAGACAACTTTTGTCATTTAAAAAAAAATTAAATTTTGTTATATTTAAAATAAGTTTGTACCTATAAATAAATGTTATAAAAAATTTTAAATTTATTTCAGAAACAATTTTATGATTCTTAAAAAAAAAAACATGTGGAATTAAATTTAAGAAAATTTTGTACTAAAATTTACGAATATCAACAGTTATTATTAATTATTTAATATTTAAAAAACAATAATTCTCAAAAACAATTTATACAATTGTTATAAGCTTGAATTTACAGTACAATTAATATTAATTTTGTAATTTACAAGATAAATTATTATTAAAAAAATTATCACTTCAGATCCGGTGTGCGCCGACATTGAGGTTCTAAGTGAAAACAAATCAAAATTCTTTGCACAAAAATAAGAAGGACACAGGATCATCGTCCCGGTGCTCAACCCGTACTGAAAAGCCAGCAATGGCGGCCGTTCATCTCTTGTCTGTCAAAACAAATGCCTCAGCCATGGGAGCCCTAGCCGCTAGGTCCAATCAGTTTCCTTGTGCTCTTCGATTTCCTTCAACTGTTTCTGTTAACTTTAATAGCAGAGCGTCGAGCTCCGACGCCAATTTCCTTACTTCACTCAGCTCGAGCTCCCACGCCTTTACGCTCAAATGCTCCGCTTCATCTCCTCCACCATCAGGTAATTCTTTCTTCATTTCGGTTTCCAGAAAGTGATTTTACATATATGATTAACATATATGATCATAGAGAGGATTCTGTTCATTTTACAATCTGTTTGGTTGCTAGGACATTTTGATTTCTGTTTGGTTCGCCGAAAGAGTTAGTGGTGGAAAGGATAAATGGAAAGATACTGTTCTTATATGAGTTTTTTTTTAGATTTCTATTTGTCAAAAGAGAATGGTGTTTTGATTTAGGCCCTCAAAAAGAGAAAAATTTAG